GGTGGTGTAAAGCACGCCGCCACTGGACTCTAGAGCAGTGGAGACGCGTTCTCTGGAGTGACGAATCGCGCTTCTCCATCTGGCAATCTGATGGACGGGTCTGGGTTTGGCGGTTGCCAGGAGAACGGTACTTGTCTGACTGCATTGTGCCAAGTGTAAAGTTTGGTGGAGGGGGGATTATGGTGTGAGGTTGTTTTTCAGGAGCTGGGCTTGGCCCCTTAGTTCCAGTGAAAGGAACTCTGAATGCTTCAGCATACCAAGACATTTTGGACAATTCCATGCTCCCAACTTTGTGGGAACAGTTTGGAGCTGGCCCCTTCCTCTTCCAACATGACTGTGCACCAGTGCACAAAGCAAGGTCCATAAAGACATGGATGACAGAGTCTGGTGTGGATGAACTTGACTGGCCTGCACAGAGTCCTGACCTCAACCCGATAGAACACCTTTGGGATGAATTAGAGCGGAGACTGAGAGCCAGGCCTTCTCGTCCAACATCAGTGTGCGACCTCACAAATGCGCTTCTGGAAGAATGGTCAAAAATTCCCATAAACACACTCCTAAACCTTGTGGACAGCCTTCCCAGAAGAGTTGAAGCTGTTCTAGCTGCAAAGGGTGGACCGACGTCATATTGAACCCTATGGATTAGGAACGGGATGTCACTTAAGCTCATATGTGAGTCAAGGCAGGTGAGCAAATACTTTTGGCAATATAGTGTATTTTAAGGTAACACTTCAAACAGACTAACTACTTCAATTAAATAACTCACCCAAGCTGTCAGGAAGATAACTGTGGACCTTGATTAGCCATTTTTAATTTGTTCAAAGAATTATGTCCAGGAAAACACGGCCGTGAGTCTTCAATTGTTATACCGTTCATTTTATTCAGCAAGGAAAAAGCCAATAGTCTGAAATCAGCAACAAAAAAAACATCCCTGATTGATGTCCTATGGCACATGTAAGTATATCATTTTTAGGTTATTAACAAACTAACTATTGCTAAAAAGTGAAAGCTTTAGGTTATTGGTTCCACTGTATTTTATTTAGGGGTATCACAATTAAGGGGTTTGTGTTGGTCTGTTTTATGAAGGGTCTGATCTAACTAAAATTTTCTAAACAGAAATATCAGGGTTATCCACTCCTTTGCATATGGTGATCATCAGAATGGGCAAAATACTGGGAGGATATGTAAATATCCAATACCACCCATAATGCAATTTTATCAAAACTGAAACAGATAACCGGTGTAGTTTCTGCATCTGTATTTAGCAAACATGTTTGTGAACATTTCTGCAGCCATTATGGTGAGTGGGATGCATATATGCAGTGACAGGTGGTAGAGAGAGAGCATCTTTTGTGAGCATGTCAACTTACTCTGAATGCCAGAAATAAAAATTTTGTTAACTTCTTCCAGCTGTGCCATGTTGGAGCTTCATTATTATCTTATAATATCCTGTACACTTTTACTTTAAAGAACAATTGGTTCCCAGAAATGGTTTGCACAAGTGTTGTCTTTTTTTGCCCTTCAATTTTCCTTGATGGGCCCATCAGAAGCACAATCATTATGTGTTGAAAAAATAACGATTGTTGATTTGTCTTGCTTTTACCATATTTGGGTAAAACTATTAACAAGCTTGATTACAGCAGTTTGCTGATCAACAATGCTACTGTACAGGGGGACTAACAAAGAATCCAGACGGAGAAATCAAAGCCGATGTCAATGAGTAAGCAGAAGTCCAGGCCAGAAGATCAGAGATCAGAAGAGGTACCAAAGGGAAATCTAAGCTGGGTTCAGGAGATAGATCCAAGGTCATTAGCAGGTAGAATCCAAAGGAAGTCCATAGACAGGTCAGGCAAGCAGATCAGAACAGGCAGGCAAACTCAGAAGTCCAGGAGCAGAAACTAGTCAAGATCAGGCAATCAGAATAAACACAATAGGGTTCGCTAGAGAACTATAGAACAACGGCTCGAATACCAAGCAGTTTAAATAAGAGCAGAAACAGGTGGATCTGATGAGAGATAATGAAAACTGGGTGGAGCTTGGCAGGTGGATGAAATAAACCAATAATCCAGTCATCAGTGCCAAGATAAAGACAGTTTTGACATATTTTTACTGTTTTTGTAGCACTTTTAGATACTTATATAAAAAAATGCAGTAATATTAATATTATTATTACTGTAGCCACAGCTCCTTTTTCAGCCACACTGCTCTTCCAGACTCTCTATGGTGACTATTTAGAGAGGCACTTCCCCCCTCCTATTAATTGCACACAATCTTCATACAAAAAAAATGATCACAGGTCCAATAATTGTGTTTTGTTTGTTTTTTTGCACCAGAATTCTAGCTCTCCTTCAGAGTACTTCAGGTCTTAAAGCCTATGTTTGTTGCATGAGAAAATTAAGGGGTAAGAAACTGAGCTATAAGTACGTTTACAGGGTGGACCATGATAAACTTATTCCCTTATAATGTGGTGCACTCAAGGGCAAAACACTGAAAGAATGCTTTTAATATTCTAGCTGCAGAGCTGTACACCAAAGTAAAAGTACAACGAAAGCTAAAGTGGGACCAAGCGAGGCGACGTGGCTTTAAACTGACAGTCAGTATGAAGAAAAACTGCACACAGGAATGAGTCATCTAGGCTGTTCAAATACTCAGACATGAAGTAAAATCTTTACCTTGTATTTCATTGTACCCTAGACAAATACAATGGAAGGAGAAAAGTGGTTGTGTTTTTTTCTTCATTCAATACATGTTTTAATCAAACAAAATCAGTAAAGGGTTCAGTAAGATATGTTAAACACAGTAAAGAGATATTTTCCACCCTAAACATGTTAGGAATAATTTTTGTCACTCATATAAAAACTTATTAACCCTAAAAATAGGTTGTAAAATTCAATCAACAATTATAGTCTTTCATACCAAAAGATATATTTCATTTCCCTGAGGAGTCAAATTAGTTGAAATTAGTTGAAGCACGGATACCAGATTTACTGATATCACTGAGAAATAGGAACCCCACTGGAAATATTATTTATGGCTTATCTCCATTATTTTGATGGCGGTGACAACACAAGCCCAGCTCTGTAAATTCTGAGCTAACACTCTGTTAAACTTAGATTAAATCATGGCAAAGTTTAAGTCCTGATAAAGAGTATTTAGTATAAAAGCAGTTCTTTTAGTGTTCACTCCTGGCAAAGGAACTGGGAATAAGCCCTGAGGCGTAAATGCCATCAGGGGACTTTAGTCTTTGTTACAACTATGTGAAAAACCTAAAACGTCAAACCAGGGCACATGCAGGTCGAAAAAGGCAAGGCAATGACCACATATACAGTAAACTTGAGGTGAGAAATCATAGAAAAACAGAAAGAAAACATAAAGTGTCCTGCAAATGAGAGATTTTGAAAAACCAAAAAGTCTTTGCTAAAAATCAGGGACAAGGATTATATACCTAACATCCATAAACCATAAACCTCCAGGTCTCTCTTTGGCCTCAACAGCCGTCCCCTCAGTTGAAATGATGAGGATAGCACTAGAACTTACAGATTTACAGACTCTGGACCCTAGGGTCTAGTTTTCTTTACTGCCACTGATTGGTGACACTTCTTGTTCTCCTTCCTCCACCACTGTTGATACTGTTTTTGATGATGTTGACCTGCTGGTATCTAAACCATAAAAACACTGAATATGTGTCAGAGTTTGAATCATACTTAATTGCTTTGTAAAATAACTTAGGGCTGAGAGCCTCTTTAAAACCTGAATACTGCTTAAAATGTAATAAGTGCTGGAAATGCGGACATAAACGTCATATATGGAAACATTACAAGATCACGTACCCTAATCCACATTTTGGAAAGAATTGTCACCCTCAGGCTTTCTGAGGAACCTTTCTGCAGCTGGTAAACTTATCAGAGTAATGGTTTACGTTTTCAGTATATAACCGTTATTTTCCTCTGAAGCTTGGATTTTGTAGATTTATGCGTGTTGACATGGTCAGTGTGTGAGCACTGAGCAACACCTGCCCTTTCTCACAAGCACCACACAAAAGGTCAAGTGGTGCCTGCCTGATGCATGCAGCCCCTGGAGGAGATTTCACAGAAGCCAGGGTTGAAGAAAAAAAGGGTTTAGCGAAAGATATTGAGTTTAGAGTAGAGAAAGGGATGAGGAATTGGCAACCACTTCATTCAAATTCAATTGGAATAGGACTTGACAAAATGTTGACAGAGCCTCAAAAAACCCTAATCATTGTGACATTAATTTAAAATACTGACACAGAGAAGACTTGACACCAGTTTTTGTATGTTTGTTAAATTATGACACTCAGAAATTTTTATTTGTAAATCAAATAAAAATTCGAAAACAAAAAAAGTAATAAATAAATTGTATAACAAAAGTGCAAAGGTCAAAACTGTTTGCATCATTCCAGAAATAGACGACGTTTTACTTCCTTGGTGTGAGAGATTGCCTCAGTGAGTCGATGCAATTAACTGGTTTTCCTTAGATAGAAAACTTTGAATCAGTCTGACTGTATAATCTGGTTGAACTGTAAAGTGCCTTGAGATAACATGTGTTTTGAATTGGTGCTATATAAATAAACTGGATTAAATTGAATTGTACATGTGGGACAGTAAAGGCTGTTTCTAGCAAATATCTTCTTAAGCTTCAGTCACTTTCCACATGAAGTTCTGAATGCAATGATCAGCATTGGCCTGAAGCTTGATATTGCACTAAGTCTAGTGTTATTTATGCACCTTCTTTTATGCTAACGTCCAGGTTTGCAGTCCTGCTATCCATTCCTCCAGCAAAGTCTTCAAGCATGGTTTAAGATTCTTATTCTGTCATGATTTAAGGTTCTTCAAGTCTTTGATTTTCTCCTTGTTTGTTCATTTAAACTTTCTGGTTATTTATATCTATTGTGATGTTGTAAAGAAACATTATCTGTCAGAAACATTTACTTACTCATCATTACTCTTCTGCTTTCTCCAAAAACCTGACAATCCAGGATAAGAGATGAGCAACTGATCTCTCCCCATAACTGATCCTACTTCTGTCACAATATGAGCGCCCCAACATCCGGAAGTCCAAGCACAGAGGTGAAAATGGGATCCCAGGAGATGGCGATGCTTAGCAACCTTCTGGCTGCTTACACATTCATTGCAGGTAGGATTAGCCAGATCTGGATTCAGGTTTATTATGTCTCGAATTCTGAAAACACAATGTTATAGGAGCATCGGACAATCAAAGGTGGAAACTTAGATGAAGATCAGGGAGTGAAAACTGGGATGCAGAGAAAGAAAGATATACTGAGTGTAAAAAAGAGAGAAATAAATCTGCTGTCATGTTCAACTCTGTTTACCTTTTAAATGTTTGCTGATTCCCTTTAGACCAACCTGAGAGAACAGCGCTGGTGTTCCTCGGCGGTGTGTGTGTTGGTCTCCTGGTCACCCTGTGTGCCATCGTCTTCCAGATACACTGTAGAGCAGACTGCCACTATGGCAACAGCAACGACCTTCAAAACCGCCAAAGGGTCAAACATCAACGTCGCCAGTACATCTGCGCCCTCCCTCAGCGCAGTGATGGTAACCGAGACAATGCTGCTGCTGTAGTTGTAGCCTCGGGGGCGACTGGGCAAACTCGGGACTGTGATCAAGAGGACTGGGATGAAACGTCTGACCTGTCGGCACGGCGACGCAGGCGCTTTGAGAGAGCTCTGCTAAACGCCACCATGTTCACGTCTTCAGAGGGTATTTGTCACAGAAACACACACTTTTATTGATCAGACATTGATAAAACTTCACATATGACAATAGGTTACAATAGGTTAATTCATTTTGAGGCTTTTTATAGGGACTTGGCCCCTTTTAGTTTTGCTTAAAGGGGCCAAGTCACGTATGCCTACTGTACGACCCCCCCCCCTCAATAATTACTAAAAGTAGATGTTCAAATAAAGCCCTGTACTCCAAATGTCTATCCTAAAAGTATTAACTTAGTCCTTTTTTTAGGCTAAGAATGCTTTTTGCATCAAGCTTGATTGGTAGACACAAACAATTCTCTACACCATTGCAATCTAGTGGCTTTACTTACTCATGCATCCACCAACCTATCAGCTTACTTACCTACCAGTGTTTTAGCTTATGCCTCATTTAACCTCAGGGTTCATATTTTTTTCTCATAATCAGACTCTCATGCTTCTTCGCATCCAATAATTTTTAGCACCTCTTCACACTTGATTGTGGATCTTTTCTGTTTAATTTCACATCTCCACTAGAGAAATGCTGACTTGCTGGGCTCAATTATCTCCCTCTGTACTCATTGTGGGCGTATGCAACATCAAACCTCCCTATGAAATGAGTGAGACCTACTATGGGACCACAGAGTGGTCTTTCTGAATACATATCGACCTCCATCACCTTTTTCAAATCCACTAAAATAAACAATGAAGCATCTGGAACATTTATGTGAAGACTGTGAATAAAGGGCTATGGCTTGTGAGCTGGTATAAAAAATAACAACAGCAGCATCATAGTTTGTTCAGTTTGGGCTACCAAACTAACTATCCCTTTCTACCAGGAGGAACTTAATCACCCTTGACATATCAGCTAAAATACATTATCAAACACTTGAAAAAGTCTCTCTAAACACAGAGCTGAAAGAAGCTTACATCCACCTGCTTGTAGGACTTTTGTGAGGAAAAACAGCAGCTAATATAACTTTTGGAGAAAGCTAATCCAGTGTAGAATAACAAACATGGATGTAATTTTTTTTGAGGGGGAGCAGGGGTGACATGTCCCCTGCACAAATGTGCGTTTTGGTTCCCTGCACATTTTACTGTCCAAAAACAATGTTATGCTACAGTACACAGACATTCGTCGAGCACTAGCTCAAGCTGAAGCCTGTTTCCCTGAGTTTAGAATGCTCACAAGCTCCTGATTGGCCCACTGTCTTTTCTTGTGTGGTTGCCGGTCAAACACGCTGTAGTTTGTAAAATTATAAAATACTTGCATCCCCCCACTTCTGAAATCAAAATTTTGTCCATGATAAGAAACAAACAAGCTAGCCTATTCTGTTGTAGTCCAGTTGTGTTTCTAACATAACACCAATATAAACTTCACTGTCATATTAAGTTTACAGACACAAAACAATGTTGGTACCCCTCATTGAATGAAAGAAAACCCACAAATGTCAGAGAAATAACTTGTATACTTGAAACAAAAGTAACACTGTGTGCCTTACCTGTCCAGCAGAAATAAAATATAGAATTAAAAGCAGATGACGTGTATCTAAAGCTGCATCTGTACTTGTATCTTTAGAACTGGACCGGGTGCAACGACTGGAGGAGAGAGAACGAGTTCTCCGAGAGATCTGGATGAACGGACAACCTGATATCAGCACAGTGACTCAAAGCCTCAACAGATATTATTGATGAAAAACTAGCAAGACAGAAATATGCAAGTAGACAGACACTGAACATTAAACTATTTCCTCTGAGCTTCTAAACCAGGGCAACATAGCGGACAAGAAGAAGATAAAAGTGGACGGTTTACCAACAAAATACTGTTTGTGGCTTATATTCAATAGATTCTGGGATATGTGACTGCTGCCATTAATAGCTGAAGTATTTTCTCTATTTTCTGTCTCTGCCCAAAACTTTTGAGCAGCATAGGAAAAGAAGGGAATAACAACCGCAAGTGCACAGTTTGATTTTGTATTCTGATATTGGAGCACTTTTCTCAGCCGACCCATACAGTTTGTGAATCTGCAATAATCAAAGGGTTTAAGTTGGATACTTTTATATCAGGGGGATCATGGTCCTCCAAGATGACCATGGAAACTTGGTGAAAACATACTGGTGCTTTTACTACTGTATTTAAAGTTAATCTAACTACACACTGACTGACATTGTAAATGTGAAGTACTGACAGTAGCCAGGCCTACTGGGAAGCAACATGTTGCATTGTGACAATCCGTATTCTGAGATATTACAAAGAATGGCTAACTTTAATTTTAATAATTTAATGTTGTTTTCACATATTGATTAAACAGATTTATTTGAGCCATTGAAGTGGTGGGTTTACAATTCTTTACCATAGTCTATATATCTTGCTGTAAATCATACATCAGATCCTCTAAAATGTAACATATCGTTGCATGCAGGAGTGAAAGAGATGCATAAAGACGGGTTTATAATCCTGTGAATTATAACAAGGGATGAGCATTCCTCAACTGCAGTAGTCAGGGATCCCTACCTTTAAACTAAAGGTCAGTTGGTGTTAGCCAAAACAACCACAACCTTTAATCCTTTGAAGATTTTATTTAATAAACACACATACATTTGGATTTCTATCATATTAAGACTTAATTGACTTACAATTATTTTAGCAACTTCATTTATGCCTAACCCTGGCTTTTACCCAAACACTTATCAGTATAGTCCTAAACCTAACCTTAGCCTGAAGTTATTTCACACCAGAGCTCTAAACTGACTCTCTAAGCTTAAAAATGGGGCTCATCACATTAGGACCTCATAAAGTATGTTGGTCCTCAGAACGTCAGTAAATAGTCAGTCTTGTATCATGATGAGATATACAGTATCTGTCTGTTAGGTCTATTCTTAGCACAAAAAGTAAGTAAATTTAGTTCAATTGATTAGTTATATGATTTAAAATGCATTTTTGGAAAAAATTAAATAAGGATAATTAAAGATATATTAGTGTTTTTTTATGCTGCCACATGCATTGTTTAGGTAATGCATCGAATTGAGAATGTAGATTGCACTTCTGGAAAACTTGCAAAATCCTGTTTACTGTTCCCAAATACCTTATATAAAAATAAACATCAATAAATAAAACAAGTAAGCAAGCCTGATGGAGCACCAGAACTAAGTTTTTGTTGAGCAACACTTTGAGGCAATCACTGCAATGGGGTGTTTTCTGTAATGTTCAGGAAATATTCAGCAAGACTTCCGCACCTGTTGACAGGTATGTTGGTTCACTGTTCATGAGCAAAGTACAGTACTTTATTTAGAATTAGTTTTTTCAATAAAAACACAAAATCAATACTCTTTAATAGAAGGGTACGTAAACTTTCAAGCACCACTGTATACATGCATACACACACTCACTCACAACATTTTCTCACTATCATTGTGGAGCCTTTCCATTAACTTCCATTAATTTCTAGAGCCTAACCGTGACCCTCAACCTAACCACTATCATATATAACCCTAACCCCAATCTGAATTAAATTGACACCTTAGTTCTAAATGTGACCTCTGACCCATTGTGGAATCCAGGCATTGGGCACTACAAGGAGCAGTCAGTCCCCATAACATGTATAAATACATATAGATATACACACAATATGTAAAAAGGAAAATATGTATATGTGTTTATAGATGTGTTCTTTATCAAAAAAAAAAGCTATATTAGCGCTTGGAAGGAAGAACATATTTAGAATTATTCCGAAAACTAAAACTGAAAATATGTAATTTCAGTTAACCATTAGTAAACTAAAAAACGAATATATTTACAAGTGAAAAAGCATAATTAGATAATACAAACGAACAAATAGGCACACCAAAATAGCATTAATATAGCTGAAAACATAAAAATGAACATAGAGAAACTTCAACATGTCTATAATGGAGTAGGACTGAAGTACAAAAAAAATAAAAATTCAAAGAGCTCATAAAATAAGAAAATATAAGGGGGGAGATGTATTCCTCACTGAGAGGATTCATCGTAATAACCAAGAAATAGTAAACAAACCATAGCACTGTCATGATGCGTGGTTGGTTTGCTAGCCCAGGATGCAGAACTCACAGACTCAGAGGCAGGATTAAAGTCCAATGTTTATTTGGATCAGCACAGGGTTCTGCCCTGGAAGGCTGAGGAGACAGAGCACAGGTTGAACTCAGGGAAAAATAAACAAACTGAAACTCACAGGTTTGCAGACTCAGATAGGCAGGATTAAACAGGCAGAGACTCTGGATTGCTTCCATGGCAAGGACAAGGACAATGACCACGATCCGGCTCAGAACGAAGCTTTCAAACAGTTTATATAGTGAGAGGTTAATCAGCAGAGCTGATTGGGATCAGCTGAGTGCTGAGAACCAGCTCCCAGGAGGATCCACAGCGCCCTCTGGTGGGCAACCTCTGGATCCCAACAGGAAAAGAAGCCCACAGGAAGGGATCCAAACAGCCCTCTGGAGGGCAAACCTTTGGATCCCAACAGTACCCCCCCCTCAAGGGCGGATACCAGACGCCCAAAAACAAAAAACCAGAAAACAAAACAACCCACCTAGGTGCGAGCGGGGGGGAAACAGGCATGAAGGGCCAGACACGAAAACAGAACAGAGTCCAAAAATCAAAACAACCCACGAGTGGACCCCCGTGGGCGAGGACAGGAAAAGTCTCAGGGGACCGGCCGTGGGGCCGGGTAGCAAGGCTTAGTCTCAGGGGACCGGCCGTGGGGCCGGGTAGCAAGGCTTAGTCTCAGGGGACCGGCCGTGGGGCCGGGTAGCAAGGCTTAGTCTCAGGGGACCGGCCGTGGGGCCGGGTAGCAAGGCTTAGTCTCAGGGGACCGGCCGTGGGGCCGGGTAGCAAGGCTTAGTCTCAGGGGACCGGCCGTGGGGCCGGGTAGCAAGGCTTAGTCTCTGGTGGCCGGCCGTGGGGCCGGCAGGAGGGCAGAGTCTCAGGTGGCCGGCCGAGGGACCGGCAGCAGGGCAGAGTCTCAGGTGGCCGGCCGAGGGACCGGCGTCTCAGAAGCTGCAGGGGCCTTGGAGGAGGACACCGTCTCTGCTGCTGCAGGAAGCTCCGTGGAGGACGCCGTCTCTGCTGCTGCAGGAAGCACCGAGGAAGACGCCGTCTCCGCTGCTGCAGGAAGCTCCGAGGAGGACGCCGTCTCCGCTGCTGCAGGAAGCTCCGAGGAGGACGCCGTCTCCGCTGCTGCAGGAAGCTCCGAGGAGGACGCCGTCTCTGCTTCTGCAGCACAGCAACAGGCTCAGCAGCAACCGCCGACTGTGGCTCAGGAGGAGGCTCGGAGGAAACCGCCGACTGCGGTTCAGGAGGAGGCTCTGAGGAAAACGCCGACTGCGGTTCAGGAGGAGGCTCTGAGGAAAACGCCGACTGCAGCTCCATCCCAGGAGCAGAGGAGGCCACCGACTGAGGCTCCACAGGCACACAGGAGGCAGCCGATTGCTGCCCCAGCTCAGGAACAGAAGAGGCCGCCCATTGCGGCTTCGCATCAGGAGGAGAGGAAACCACCGATTGTGGCTCCACAGGGTCACAGGAGGCTGTCGATTGCGGCTCCGGAGGAGGCTCAGAGGAAGCACCGGAAACCACCGACTGTGGATCCGAATCTGGAGCTGAGGAGGCCGTCGATTCCGCTTCAGCAGGAAGCACCGGGAGAAACTCAGTCTCCGCTTCCGCTTCAGAAACTGAGGAGGCCGTGGACTGCGGCTCAACGTCAGGAACTGAGGAGGCCGTCAATTGCGGCTCCGCATCTGGGCAGAGGAGTTTACCGGCTGTGGCTCCAATGGAACACCGGAGGCCGTCCCCTGCGGTTCCACCTCAGGAACAGGGGTCCTTGGACGGCCCCAGATCTCCCGACTTCTGCGTTCCCACTCCTCTTCACGTTGACGCTGCTTCATCTCCCATTGGTGCTCCAACTCCTCTACTCGTCGACGCCGCTCCATCTCCATCTCCTCTACTCGTCGACGCCACTCCTCTTCTTGTCGACGCCGCTCCTGCTTCAACCCATAATCCAAAATACGTCGGCACAACCTCTCCCTCACGACCTGCTCTGAGGTCTCTGGACGGCACGGGGCCAGCTCTGGGGTCTCTGGACGGCACGGGGCTAACTCAGGGGCAAAAGCAGCCACTAATTCATCATAGTGACGTCGCAGCGCCTCCCACCCGGGAGGGAGTGGACGGCGCTGAGCGGGCCTCACCAGGTGAGCGTGGATGGAGTCTGCTGGGCTAGTCTGTTGGCCGGATCGTTCTGTCATGATGCGTGGTTGGTTTGCTAGCCCAAGATGCAGAACTCACAGACTCAGAGGCAGGATTAAAGTCCAATGTTTATTTGGATCAGCACAGGGTTCTGCCCTGGAAGGCTGAGGAGACAGAGCACAGGTTGAACTCAGGGAAAAATAAACAAACTGAAACTCACAGGTTTGCAGACTCAGATAGGCAGGATTAAACAGGCAGAGACTCTGGTTTGCTTCCATGGCAAGGACAAGGACAATGACCACGATCCGGCTCAGAGTGAAGCTTTCAAACAGTTTATATAGTGAGAGGTTAATCAGCAGAGCTGATTGGGATCAGCTGAGTGCTGAGAACCAGCTCCCAGGAGGATCCACAGCGCCCTCTGGTGGGCAACCTCTGGATCCCAACAGGAAAAGAAGCCCACAGGAAGGGATCCAAACAGCCCTCTGGAGGGCAAACCTTTGGATCCCAACACAATATCGACCAGAGAAGCTTTCTAAGGACATCTAGTGGCGCACAGTTGAAAACACAGTCAAATGTGTTTAAAAAAATAGAAAAGATTTCATACATTTTCTGATTTTTATTCCTGCTCTAAAAAAGTGGTTTTCCTTTCTCTCACAAACTTGTCTTTGATTTGTTTTTGATTGGTAGCATTTACAGTGAATCCAATTGAACTTTTCCTCTGTTTTCACTAAAGCAGCCATTAAAATTTGGACTGAATGGCAGCACTTTAACCTCCTAGCTGTGTGTGCACAGTACATATGCCTATATGAATATGGAAATCTAAGAATATTTCACTCTTGCCATATTTTAAGTAGTAATTAGATCTTCCATATTATTAAATTAATCAGATCTGCCCATTAATTTTTCTAAGTTTTTGTAATTATTAAAATAACATCTTGGTTTTTCAAGTACGTACTGTCACCTTAGTCTCAGAGCAGAAGTCTTTCTAAATGTGATGTGAAATATTAAAATAAAGCCATTCAGAATCTCTCTGGTTGTCAGTGTTGCAGCAGAACTGTTTTCATTGAAAAGTTTCCCTTCAAAGGAGGACAATAATACACGTACAGATGTTTCT